ACCAATGAAATTAGCCAGTCACTTGGACAGCTAAATTGTCCATTTGAATGGAGGACCATCACGGTAATTGACCTAAATTTATCATGCTTAGCAGTTTCGATTTTTATGGACAGAAACAACGGAAACACACGGAGTTTTCCGGAAATTCTGTTTTCGGCATACCACTAAAACATGCTACACAAATGGAGGCGTGTAGCGTGTTGGCTATTTGCATCTCGAAGTAAGGTTTTTAATGCTTAATGGTTGAATTCTTTCAGCGTCCGAATCTGGAACCTAAAGATTAGGACTGGCCATTATAGCTTTTGGTGTGGTGAATTGTTCTTAAGAAAGTACTTTTTTTTCTCTTTTTTCTTTTTTTTTTGGCTTTTCTCTTGAATATATAAACATAGTTGTCATATGAAAGCAGGGATTCTTAATGTTTTAATGGGAAAAACAAATCTAATTTATAAGTTTGGCGACAAAATAACACAACCACATTCTACACCCACCCCAACAAACCTTCTTACTTTTAGGTGTGATGATTGTGGGTTCGAATCCCTGTTCGCCCCGATTATGTATTTAGGTTAGTCAGCACCACACTCGTGTTCGTTGTTTTCAGTAAAGTGGTAAACGTCTCTTACCACCCCTCTTACCTACAAGTGTGACGACAAAATAACACATCCACAATCTCCCCCGCCCCCCAACCACCCCTCTTACCTACAAGTGTGACGACAAAATACTACGTCCACAATAACCCCCACCCTCCACCCACCCCTCTTACCTACAAGTGTGACGACAAAATAACACATCCACAATCTCCCCCGCCCCCCAACCACCCCTCTTACCTACAAGTGTGACGACAAAATACTACGTCCACAATAACCCCCACCCTCCACCCACCCCTCTTACCTACAAGTGTGACGACAAAATAACACATCCACAATCTCCCCCGCCCCCCAACCACCCCTCTTACCTACAAGTGTGACGACAAAATACTACGTCCACAATAACCCCCACCCTCCACCCACCCCTCTTACCTACAAGTGTGACGACAAAATAACACATCCACAATCTCCCCCGCCCCCCAACCACCCCTCTTACCTACAAGTGTGACGACAAAATACTACGTCCACAATAACCCCCACCCTCCACCCACCCCTCTTACCTACAAGTGTGACGACAAAATAACACATCCACAAACTCCCCCACCCTCCACCAAACTCTCTCACCTACAAGTGTAATGACAAAATAACACATCCACAATCTCCCCCGCCCCCCAACCACCCCTCTTACCTACAAGTGTGACGACAAAATACTACGTCCACAATAACCCCCACCCTCCACCCACCCCTCTTACCTACAAGTGTGACGACAAAATAACACATCCACAATCTCCCCCGCCCCCCAACCACCCCTCTTACCTACAAGTGTGACGACAAAATACTACGTCCACAATAACCCCCACCCTCCACCCACCCCTCTTACCTACAAGTGTGACGACAAAATAACACATCCACAATCTCCCCCGCCCCCCAACCACCCCTCTTACCTACAAGTGTGACGACAAAATACTACGTCCACAATAACCCCCACCCTCCACCCACCCCTCTTACCTACAAGTGTGACGACAAAATAACACATCCACAAACTCCCCCACCCTCCACCAAACTCTCTCACCTACAAGTGTAATGACAAAATAACACATCCACAATCTCCCCCGCCCCCCAACCACCCCTCTTACCTACAAGTGTGACGACAAAATACTACGTCCACAATAACCCCCACCCTCCACCCACCCCTCTTACCTACAAGTGTGACGACAAAATAACACATCCACAATCTCCCCCGCCCCCCAACCACCCCTCTTACCTACAAGTGTGACGACAAAATACTACGTCCACAATAACCCCCACCCTCCACCCACCCCTCTTACCTACAAGTGTGACGACAAAATAACACATCCACAAACTCCCCCACCCTCCACCAAACTCTCTCACCTACAAGTGTAATGACAAAATAACACATCCACAATCTCCCCCGCCCCCCAACCACCCCTCTTACCTACAAGTGTGACGACAAAATACTACGTCCACAATAACCCCCACCCTCCACCCACCCATCTTACCTACAAGTGTGATGACAAAATAACACATCCACAAACTCCCCCACCCTCCACCCACCTCTCTCACCTACAAGTGTAATGACAAAATAACACATCCACAATCTCCCCCGCCCCCCAACCACCCCTCTTACCTACAAGTGTGACGACAAAATACTACGTCCACAATAACCCCCACCCTCCACCCACCCCTCTTACCTACAAGTGTGATGACAAAATAACACATCCACAAACTCCCCCACCCTCCACCCACCTCTCTCACCTACAAGTGTGATGACAAAATAACACATCCACAGTCTCCCCAGTCCCCAATCCCTTTAGAAAAAGAATTTGACTGCCAACTTAACTCTGGCATAAGTGAATCATGTAGATTTGAATCGTAGTCGTTAGCTAAAACGATGTCATCGCTAAGTTACGATATTAAATACACAGTACATTCCCTTTATCCTGACTGTTGGGGACGTTATTCACGCTTGAAGGGGCATTATAATTACTCTGTACCTATGATTCGTATATCCTGAAATGTGTTAATTTCACTGGGACCGGTTAAATAGGGTTTCGCTGTGTATTAGCATTACAGAGAGCGCGTACCGTAAAGATTCGGGTAAGAATTGGATTTCAGTAACACATGCCTGTAGAAAGAGGCGACTAACGGAATCGGGACCGTCAAATAGCTGGAATATTGCGGCCTTAAACGCAAACAACAGAGAACATGATACTAAATTGCATAACGGTAACTTACAGATGCGTATGGAAGACACAACACACCTTATGAAAGGACGCAAAATGCTGATATTGATGAAAAAGGTGAAATTGACGCATTCTATGTTAACTTACAAAGTTTTTTGTTCACTCATTATATCAGAAAATCAAACGCGTTGCGTCTCTTTACCACATTGGGTGGTCGAATAGCTAATGCATTCCCCCTTTTTCAACTTGATGCAGTGAGTGAGTTGGGTTTAACGCCGCTTTTAACAGTATTCCAGTTATATCACGGCGTGTCAGCTTAATGTGGGAGGAAAGCCCGAAGTGATGCAGGTCTCAGACGTTTACCACTTCGGTGAAACCCACGAGAACGGGTATGGTGCTGAAAAACCTAGAAACATAATCAGGGCGAACCGGGATTCGAACCCACAATTATAGATTTCTGGCGTGCCCAAGGGACGCAACTCTGCACAGCGAATCGCGGCGCCTTAGACCCACTCAGACACTATATACTGACTCCTAGCCGACTAGTCCCCGAGCGCGAGGCAGGGCAACAACAGGTACCATCGTTTAGCCTCTTTTGGTATGGGGGCGGTCGGGTAGCCTAGTTATTAAAGCGTTCGATTCCCGACATGGGTACAATGTGTGAAGCCCATTTCTGGTGTCCCCCGCCGCGATATTGCTGGAATATTGCTTAAAGCGGCGTTAAACCATACTCACTCACTCTCTCTTTTGGTATTGAAGCCCCGCTCTACCACTAGACCACGGTGGCAGTCGTTTTTATCACAGACGCGACAGACAAGAATCCTGTCGCGGCACAGGCAACAGATTTTGGAAAATGCACATAAACACTAGAACATCTAAAGAATAAATAATTATTCACGCCCCTTAAGAAAATATGTCTTTAATTTTCTTCTCGAGTTCAATGACATTTGGTTGAAATTCAAAAGATAGTTCAACGCTCTACCGCCAGACCACGGAGGTGGACCCATATTCATAAGAAATATCTGCTTAAAGCAGAGTACTATATCACGAGCATGTGTTTATGATTCACTATCAAACAGTAATGTTACCAGGTTGAGGCCAGACTTTCATGAAATCTGGTTTACGAATCTGCCAACTCCACACAAAAATAAATCTATAAAAAATGAAACGCAGTTAGTTTTTATTCCGCCAAAAAGATATTGGTACAATGGGTTGGGTTTTTTTCATTTTACTGGCGCTATCAATATAAATAAATTATTTAAAATACTATAATTAAAATGTATCTTAAAAGTATAACACACAACGAATTATGATGAATCGCGAGAGGAAAATTAATCAATAATCCAAAAGAATATTTGAATGTCGATTTTTCTTTAAAATGTCGGGCCAAAATGGACGTCAACCTTTTATAGATGTGCACATCATAGTATCATAAAATGATCATTGTATTGACATGTGCGAGGCACTGAGTTAACACATGGCATCATCAATATTTGACAGCGACTCATAAACATTCTTATGGAATCATACAATGGAATCGTACAATGGACTCTGCTTTTCTTTTTTCTTTTAATTATTTTGACCACCTGTTCCCTACACCATCAAACAGGTGCACGCCACTGACGCTATAGAAACTCTTATGTGTTAGGCAGACATACTCACAACACAAACTCTAGATCTCAAGTCGATAGTCATACAACCCACAGCTCACAGTTCTAAGGGCGTTAACCATGTCCCGCCCATAGACTATAGTTATTTTCCAACACAACCTTCTCGCTTGTTATCTCATTACACACCGGTCATACCGCCCTGGTAGCATTAAATATGAAGGAATTGTTTTCTGTCTGCTTGCGATTGATTCCGAAAGAATTCCCCAGTGTTTTAATCCAGTTTGACTCATGCTTGAATAGAAGAGTGTTGATGAATAAGTCAATGTCATGATCAGGCTGATTGGTCTGAGACAGTTTCCAGAACCGTAGATGAGATATCCGCTCACAAAGCATAAACCAGACCCTATTATTTAAACTTTCAATTTCAGCAGCAGTAGTGTCATCATATTTTCATCAGGAACTCGTACAACAAACACATTTGTGCTGACAGAAACGAGAAGGGAAATTGTATTTGACTTCGTTCCTAAAAGTAAACATTTTACCACTGACTGAATTGTAAGACCATTCTCTGGCACACAAATAAAGAGCCGATTCAGACGATGAAAATAAGCATTCTCTGCGAGTAGCTGTGAGCATAGGGTGAGTGTTCGATCGATGAGAGTCAGAGATCCGGAGTCCGTCCGAGTCTCCGAGGCTGAAGTGGAGGCATGGTATTGTGCTGTCTGCACAGGGGGGAAGAACATCGCCGCCGCAGCCACAAGCACGCATGCTGTAAATTACGTTACTTGCCTCACATGGATTGTCTTTCCTTTGAAGTTTAGTCCGCTTTGAAAGAATTAAGTGGTTAAGCATTGTGCTGGAAAGCCCTTGAATACACACCATTTTCCTCGACATAGCGCCGGTCAACTATTGAGTTTTATCATTTGGTTTTCAAGCAGCCAATGCCATCGATACCTGTGATTTGTGGTCGTCACGCACACGAAGAGATGCGCCGGTGTCGAATCGTGCCCGCACACGGTAACTCCTGGCTGTTCCGCCGGTCAATACAGTCGACGTAATTACAGGGTAACCAACATAAAACCATGACAGTGTTTGTGCGGATCAAATCACAGGGGTGTATTGATTGGACAGACACCGGCTAATGAATGAAATACCTGTGCAGACCCGACAACATCAAACGAGACACCGGATGCTTGCGACCAGGAAGGTGTCAGGATACGGAGTTTAGCTGGTTCTGAAAGTCCACGACTTTTGTATATGTTTCTCGCGGACAATGCTGCTACATTTCACTCGCACTTGTCCCGACCACTCTCATCCACCGCGGACAATGTGAACGGGAGTTTCAGGGATGCACGTGTGGGCAATCCAGTCTTACCTGTCCCTGAGTGGAAGTTAGCGTCGCAACAGTGGGGCCGTGCGTGGCCGTTCCATGTATATGGCTTTTCCCTCCTGTTCCTAACAGTGTCCCTGCTCTCTCTGGGTCTAGTGTTCAAATTCTATCAGAGGATTAGAAGATCAAAGATTGTCTTGAACACGACGTGTTTGCTGTGCCTCTCGGGACTGTTCCGGATTCTGTACTTGACCGTGGACCCGTATGGGTATTCAAGGAACTTTTCTGGAGTGATCGTTGGGGTGTTGTCGCAGATTATCTACCCTTTCCTTTGTGCCTCGTTCGGACTTATTCAGATCATGCTTTTACGAATGACCAAAGTTGATGTGGGGAGAAGCAAACTAAGAAGTTGTACGTATCTTTTTGCATCAACTTTATCCTACCTCTTCTGCATAGTATTAGCAGAAGTAATTGTGTTTTATGAAGTCAAAGCGAAACTTTTGCTCATAATTGACAGTGGTTTTTTTATTGTGTTATCCTTATATCTATGCATCAGTTTCATCTGCAACGGCTTCCGACTGTCGCAGTATGCATCTGAAACTAAAAGAGTCAGGAAGGAATTGGGCAATTTTAGCACGAGACGAATCCAGCCTGGGGTGAGAGCAAGTAAGTCGTCAAGCTCTTTACGTTTATCCCGTCCAAAACTTCGCATAACCGACGAGAACCATATGACTATAGCTATAGCTACTGACGTAGACACGACATCGTCATCGGACGAAAATGGAAACGGGACAAAAAAAGAAAGTAGGATACAAATTAAGAAATTGACTACATCTGATGGCGTGGACCCCCCGCAGGAACAGAGCGACCGGTCGGAGACGGAGGTGTTGTTATCCGAAGAGGAGACACCTCCTCAGGCAAATTCAGAATCTTCCACGGGAGTTGACGGTTTACCAATTACACACCCCCTGCAAACATTCTCCGATTTCCAGTCATTATCTGACGACGAGGAAAGCAGACGACCTATGATCCAGAGGCAGACGACAGTAAACTGTGCGTCAGACCCAGACTCGGAAGATGACCGTAAAAGGATAAGGAGTAAGCGGCCACCTGGAGCGAGTGGAACTTTGGAGAATGGTTACATGGCGGACACGGAAATAGTATTCCAATCTCCAAAGTCCAGAAGTAGGAACACAAGGGATATTCGAGACAAACAGCAGAGTAGGCCAATCTTGGAGGATTTTGACAGTACCGACCTTGAACGAAACAGCAGTACATTGTCTGTGAATTTCAGGACCAAACCATCCTCAATAAGTTTGTTGCGAATTCGACAGAGTAAGATGATTCAGAGAGCGGTCCACATTACCTATTCAATAACATTCCTATTCATGTTTGCGTGTCTATTGCAACTCTACACAGTGTTTGGAGTGTACGGAGTTCTCAATTCCTCCTTCGTTCCGGACCCATGGCCTTGGTACACGTTCCAGACGCTTTTCAGGTGAGTCCAAGTTTCATTTGAATAAAAGCGACCGAACCCTTTCCGTATTCATAAGAAATCTCTGCTAAAATCAGAGTCGATAACGATTCCGATTACATATCTGGAGCATGATTCACAATCAGTGATGATGGCAAGTAGTCGCCAAAATGTGAGCGTATCCCGCCCAATCGGTGGTAGCGTCACGAACACATGCAAAGGCACGTCAATTTTTCACTTTACAAAACATGGGAACGTATAGTACAGGTCAAAACAGGGACTGCATCGGACATGAATTTTGTCACCTATGCGTCAAATGTGGAAATGCCCTCCACGTGTTTGACATAACACTTTTTGAAAGCTGTACAGAAGCCTGACAAGGATGGAGAATTCCTTGACGTCTGAGAGGAATGTTCTGCATTCAAATGTAAACAATTCAATCAAACAACCTTCGAACAGCTTCATAAATAATTCAACAGTTTACGTATTTCAGAACGCGGCCTTAAAGGAAAGCGTTTAATAATCAATGTTATGGAGCACAAGCAAAAACGAAATAAAGAAAACAACGAAAAAATACAATTGTCATGGGATTTCTGGAAGTAACGTTTGATTGGAAATGTTATGAAGCAAGCACATTGCTAAACAAAGCAATATCCATGAAAGAACGACGCTTGTTTGATAAGGAAAGCGTAATATAAAACGGAAGCCGTGATAACGTCTTGCTTATCGCTCGCGTTATGCAATTTAAATGTAAAAAAAAACAGAAAAAGACACCATTAACAGAATGTAAATATGCATAAAACGATATAAATGCTTAAAACGTGCAAGCATCATCGCAAGTATAAAGAACCAAAGAGGCTGCCCCTGGAACACAAATTATTGGTCGATAAGCCGAACCACAGCCGTCATGTCCCACAAGAAGAAATGATTATTTCAGGTATACACTGTTTGTTGTCACGCTATAACTATCAGAATCATTTATGTTGTACATTGTTGCAGCCTTTATACAGACAAACTTAGCAAAGGCCAAACCCTTACAATCGTGATATAAACCTACTTACGTATCTAAATGCCTTTCAAAGACCCGCTACGTACATCAGTACAGTAACTACGGTTATAACGAACTCAAAGGGACCACTAATTTTAGTTCGTTATAACCGTAGTTCGGTATAAGCATACATACAGCACATGTACAACAAATGGCCGTGACTAAAAATGAGTTCGTTATATCGGTCAGTTCGTTATAAGCTTTGTTCGTCATAACCGTAGTTTACTGTGTTTTATTTTGCACCAGAAAGAAATAGATTGGCCTCAGGTTTGACACGTAAAGAATAATTGTTCACTGGATATGTCGGGTGTCCAAAAAAAAGAGTAAAGTGAGTGTGTGAGTGAGTATGGTAAGAAGGATTGTTGTTAGAAACAGATTTTTTTCTGGCACTACTTCAAGGCAGAAATATTTTACTCAAAGGGGCAGTGGGGTAGCCTAGTGGTTAAAGCGTTCGATCGTCACCCGAAGACCCGGGTTCGATTCCCGACATGGGTACAATGTGATATTGCTGAAATGTTGCTAAAAGTGGCGTATAACCATACTAACTCATCCACTACTATCAGTGTTTTATATAACATAAGGATATTCATATTTAGTGAAACGCTATAACATATGCTCTTTGAAGAATCTAAAGCATGCTACCATCGGCAAGGAATCAAAATAATTTATACAAAATGCACTGTGAAGAATCAGAACATTGCCACCATCAGCGAGGAATGCGAACAACCATATGATATAAAATTATAACGGTCGGGCAAAAGAAAATAAACACTTGAAAATTGGATTTGAACAACAAAATACATACGCTATCAAGATGTTGCTAGGCTGAATTGTTTTGAGATACTCATTGGTATGATGCATGTAATATCGCCTATGATATCCGTATCAAATATATCACTATCGATTGGTTGGTTTGTTGTTTAACGCCGCACTCAGCAATATTCCAGCTATATGACGGCGGTCTATAAATAATCGAGTCTGGACCAGACAATCCAGTGATTAATATCATGAGCATCGATCCACGCAATTGGGATCAATGACATGATCACTATCGAATAACCATTTCGTCTTTCATTTGTAACCTCAAACTAGGGGGGGATACTTTCTTTTACCCGACAGTTCGTGTACCATGTCGAGATGTATCTGGAGTATGCTACACGATACACAATGAGTCAGAGATAGTCATGCATGGGTCATGTGTATCTGAAGAGTGTAAAGTACAATAGGTGTACAATAGGTGAATTGGGGCTAACGTCGCGTCCAAGATTGTTGCACTTTTATAGCGACGTGCATGCACGTGTGTGTGTGGCTGCTTGTACTAGTCCGTATTAATGCCGATTTATAGTGCTAGCCCACTGAGATACCATGCTGCTGTTAAACATGAATACCCGATTCAGACACAGTAAACTGACTCCCGGCCGACCAGTCATTGTTTTAGACCCTTTAGGGCAACAACAAGTACCATCTTTTAACGTTTTTGTGGTATAACTCGGCCGGGGATCGAACCCCCGACCTTCCGCTCTCCGGGCGGACGCTCTACCACTAGACCACGGAGGCGGTCGTAAAGTACAACAGACTTACGAGGTGGTTCCAAAAGCCAATATCGATACACTAGCTCTAGATCTGTATTGTGTTCTGTTGGGAAATAATTGCGTGTTGTATTAATTAGTTTTACAAACCTGGAGCCGTGGTGACCCAGACATTACACTCGCCAGGGACCATAATCTATAATAAGAATAACATGATCTGTAATTACAAGTACCTAACAGATTAATCTAGTTATAAGGTGAGTTACTGAATTTTGTTAAACTCCGGTTATTGTATAACGGCGTGTCGAGTTACAGTGGGAAGAACACCCAAAGAGACGCATGTTCATGTCATAAACGTTTAACACCGAATGTCACAGAATATTTGTTTAACTCAATATTTACTGAATTACATATGTTAATTCTCTGTTAGTATATTTAGAAGAATAGTGATAGTTACTGAATATAAAGGTCATATTTGCCACCTGTTTTAATCTGGGAACCGAACTTCTCTAATACATGTCAGTCAAGCTCGTGAGTTGGTTGGTTGGTTGGCTGTTTGACGCCGCACTCAGCAATATTCCAGCTACATGACGGCGGTCTGTAAATAGTCGAATCAGGACCAGACAAGCCATTGATTAATATCATGAGCATCGATCCACGCAATTGGGATACGATGACATGCATCAACCAAGTCAGCGAGCCTGACCACCCGATCCCGTTAGTCTCTTCTTACGACAAGCATATTCGCCTTTTACGGCAAGGTTGCTGAAAACCTATATTACCCCGGATCGTCACGGGTCTAAGCTCGAGAGGGACATCGTACTGATTAGCGGAAGATGGATGATACTACCGATATAAAAAAAATCCCCATAGATGCATTCTCTTCATCGTATGCTGAACAAAAAGAGTTAGGGATATGTTTTTGTAGAGAAGACTGAGCATGCAATTTCATAAAAAATATCCTAAAAATATTTCTTTTTTCAGTGTATTGCCCCCAGTAGTGTTTGTGAAAGAACGCATATTTCCAGTTGACTTTCTCACGTAATTTCGAGACGAAGTATCAAGTTATGGTTATTTTTCTTTGCTTATTGGACAAATCCATCTACACATCCAAAAAGCAACCTGTTTGTAATCCACCTTTTACTACAACCGTACGTGATGTCATGGACAATCCAAGATGACATCTCCAAATTTTCGACAAAATACTCCGATATGACGTCGCATTAATACACTAGTAATACGTTGAAGAAATCCAGCAATAGTTAATACATCAGTAATACGTTAAAGAAATCGAGTAATACGTTAGTTAATACACCAGTAATACGCTGAAGAGCTCTAGTAATACGTTAGTTAATACACCAGTAATACGTTGAAGAACCTCAGTAATACGTTAGTTAATACAGCAGTAATACGTTGAGGAACTCCAGTAATACGTTAGGTAACACACCAGTAATACGTTGAAGAACCTAAGTAATACGTTAGTTAATACAGCAGTAATACGTTGAGGATCTCCAGTAATACGTTCGGTAACACACCAGTAATACCTTGAAGAACTCCAGTTAAACGTTAGGTAATGCACCAGTAATACGTTGAAGAACTCCAGCAATACGTTAGTTAATACACCAGTAATACGTTGAAGAACCTCAGTAATACGTTAGGTTATACAGCAGTAATACGTTGAGGAACTCCATTAATGCGTTAGGTAACACACCAGTAACATGTTGAAGAACTCCAGTAATACGTTAGTTAATACATCAGTAATACCTTGAAGAACTCCAGTAATACGTTAGTTAATACACCAGTAATACGTTGAAGAACCTCAGTAATAGATTAGTTAATACACCAGTAATACGTTGAGGAACTCCAGTAATACGTTAGCTAATACACCAGTAAAACGTTGAAGAACCTCAGTAATACGTTAGTTAATACAGCAGTAATACGTTGAGGAACTCCAGTAATACGTTCGGTAACACACCAGTAACATGTTGAAGAACTCCAGTAATACGTTGGTTAATACATCAGTAATACGTTGAGGAACTCCAGTAATACATTAGCTTAAACACCAGTAATACGTTGAAGAACCTAAGTAATACGTTAGTTAAAACACCAGCAATACGTTAAGGACCTCCAGTAATACGTTAGGTAACACACCAGTAATACCTTGAAGAACTCCAGTTATACGTTAGGTAATGCATTAGTAATACGTTGAAGAACTCCAGCAATACGTTAGTTAATACACCAGTAATACGTTGAAGAACTCCAGTTATACGTTAGGTAATGTGCCAGTAATACGTTGAAGAACTCCAGCAATACGTTAGTTAATACAGCAGTAATACGTTGAAGAAATCCAGCAATACGTTAGTTAATACACCAGTAATACGTTGAGGAACTCCAGTAATACGTTAGTTAAATGTTAGTTTAAAGTTACAACTGTCATTGGATAAGTC